CACCAAGTGTCGAGCCTAGGAAGGATCGGGCAAGCACCAACTCGATAGAGATGCGAACAGCGCGCGCAGTGTGGGCAAGCGCTCAAGTGTTTCGCGACGGCGACCGACGGATGTCGATCATATCGAAGCCAGCGAGCTTGAGGCGACGGCGTCACGGGAACCCATGCCGCGCAACGTTGCCGATTTCAAAGACCACCCCATCTACGCGCTGGAACGACACTTGCGGCGCCACGAAGTGCTCAAAGCCGACGCGCAGCCGGCGGGGACAATGAGCGCCGGCAGCAAGGCGCCGCTGGAGACGATCTACCGGCGACGGGACGTGCGGATCGCCCGCAGCCGCGACAAGTGGTATCGCATGGGGCGAGACGTCAAAGCGATGGAAATGCCCGTCAAGTTTCTGACAAAGCGAGTCAACACCAAGCCCGGGGAGTACGTGGATGACGGTTACGGGGGCGACGTGCGCGACGCCGAGGGAACACCGGTGTTCACGGAGGAGCAGACGGAGGACTACAGGCCGCCGCCGGTAGTGCGGGGGCGGGTGCCGAAGAACAAGTTTGGCAACATCGATCTCTACGTGCCCGGCATGGTCCCCAAGGGGGGCGTCTGGATCGCCGACGACAGCGAGGACGAGCCTTCGTCTGCGCGGGCGGCGTTCATCTTGGGCATCGACTACGCGCCTGCACTCACTGGATTCTTGTTCAAGGGGCGACAGGGCACAGCGGTGCTCAATGGCGTCGTGGTGGCCAAGGAATACGAAGAGGCCATGCGGGCAGTCAAAGCCGGGCTCAGCGATGTCGAAGCACAGCAGCAGCAGGACCGCAGAGCCACGGCAGCGCTGCGAATGTGGAAGCGGTTCCTCGTGGTCCTACGTATCCACGAACGGGTGTATGCCGGTGTCAGCGCCGAGGAGAGGGCGGCAGACGAGGCAGGACGAGGGTTCGTGGCAGATGGGGATCAAGAGGGCCACGGTTCGGATTGTGCGACGGAGGCTGCGCATGAGGATGAAGTGCTAGATGAGGAGGCTCTCGAGGCGCCTGATGAGGTGGATGCAGACGAAGAGGCAGCCAGTGAAACGACCGAGGAGATCACCATGGCGGAGGAGGACTTTGGTGGTGGTGGCTTCATGACCGAGGGTGATGACCTGGGTGGTGGCTTCATGGTTGACTGAGGCGCAGTCCGTCTATCGTAGCAAGATGGACTGCGTTGCAAAACATGACCCTGAATTGAGTGTATGCAAGTCGCGACTGGGGAGCGATCACGGCTGTGAGTGCACTGCTGATGGCATCGAGGCACCGAGGACGCATCGTTGGACACGCAAGTGTGAGGCTCGAGCAAGCGGTTGCACGTACAAGGTCCCCCACCTTAGGTGCCTCGGCCCCTGCCTATACCTCGCTGTACCTACCCACCTTCATCAATCATCAGTTCAGGTGCTACCTGGAAGTTGAAAGGCAGGCGCAAACGAGATGGTGCCCCGCAAGTCATGACGTAATCGACCGTCAAGGGGAATTTTAGTATCTAGGCATGAAGAAAAAGGGCGTCATTCAGACGAATAGGAGTCCAAGGTCGGCCTTCTTGGCAGTCCGCATGGTGTCTTGGGCGCGATTTCGCCTGATCGATACGGAATACGTCCAACGACGAAATGCATCCAAAGAGGTGTCGTAGCCTCAATTTCGTACGCTCGGAAAAAGGCAAGATATGGAATCCAGTCAGGGCATGAAACGGCTGCTGCCTTGCGCCCGCTCATGTCATGTCATGTCGGTACCGTAAAAGTCTACGCAACGCGACGGGTAGATGCGCGTATTCATCGTAAAGAGATGACCCAGGCTGACAGGTGAGTGTGTCTCGGGGGTGGCATGCTGCGCCGCGCCCCTGAGCCAAAGGATTGAACTAGGTTGCTGAAAGTACGCGTATCGGGGGACGACTCTGTGCGCTGTGCCGTCAACGTACGTTCTATGTGTGTGTGAGTGGCCGACTTGCGCAGCTTAGGCAGCTGGAAGGATCCTTGAGGGGGGATGGGGGCAGCTACTGGCTACGACCTACAGGGGAGTCTGATCAGGCTAGTACAGCGGGTTCCAGCTCCACTATCCGTTCCCGGCACGTTTGGGGCCTGGCTGCTCCTACCTACTGTAGAGGTACCCAGAGTTTCCACGGCTAGGTAGGTAGGTTGGTAGGTACCTACCTTACCTTATCTAAGTAGGTAACGCACTGGCACGTCGCGAGCCCAGAGGCAGTGCAGTGCAGTGCTGTGGGACGGCCTCAGTTGCCTGCCAAAGTGGGGCGGGCCACTGCTTCCTGAGGAGGTGCCTCAGTTGCACATCCATGCCCAGAGCCTTGGGGCAGAGGGTGGTGATTCAGTCTGCCAAGACCCCGGGAGGTACACGGCCACACGGTTCAATGTCTGCCCGCCCAAGGCAGTCAACACAAAAACAGAAAAAGACATTCCTCCTCCCATCATGGCCGCCAGTCGTACAAAACATTCGGTTGAACGAGTCTCGACTTGGGGTTCTATATAGCGTACATCTAACCCCCAAACCCCCTCTGGCTTTCGACCTTGCCGTCACCCCCTCCATACGCCTTCGCAGCCGTCGTCACCACACTGTCGATGCCTATTCCATCGCAGACGAACACATACATAGGTAGTAGTGTGCTGTCTTCCTGTACCCTTGTACCAGAGGTACCTCCACCCCTTCGTCAACCACACCCGAACGTACGTTCAGCCATCCGCCGGCCTGACACCTCGAGAACGCTTCTCACAGCGCCCAGCCGCCGCCATGGCCTTCATGCGGCAGACTGGCACGCTCATACGCAAGAACTTTACCATATTGCTGCGCCATCCCTTCACCTTCGTCTCTATTCCCTTCGTCCTGCCCATCTTCCTGGCCGTTTGGTTTGGCGTTGCGCAGAACCTCTTCCGCCCCCCCGTCACCTACGGCACCGGTGATCCCAATGCCATCCGTTCCCTTGCTGAAGCCCTTGAAGGCGCCGGAAACCGAAACCGTGTCGTCTTCGTCAACGGCGGCTACGAGGGTGGGCCCATCGACAGCGTGATCGATTCCCTGACGACCAGCGCCCAGGCGGCTGACGGCATCGAAGTCTTGCGCCGTTCCGATGACAGCTCTCTGAACGTCGACTGCGAGCCGGGACAGAGGGCCGTCACCGACTGCTTTGGTGCAGTCTCCTTTTACTCGTCGCCCTCCGAAGGTGGAAGCTCTGGTGACGGAAGCTTTTGGAACTACACCATTTTCCTCGATGGTGCCATCCATGGCCTCAACATCCACGTCGACCGCAACAACAACGACGTCGACAAATTCCTGCTGCCTCTCCAGAGAGCCGTTGATGCCGCCATTGCCAGCGTGACGGCGTCCAATGCCTCCGACTCGAGCGGCCCTCAGCCAGCTGAGCTGCCTGCGACCATCGACCGCCTCCCCTTCACCAGCCTGACCGAGGACGAGTACGAGAAGCAGGTGCGCGAGGACTATCAATCCAGCATCATCAACTTCCTTGCCGTCGCCTACCTCACCACGGTCATGTTTGTCATCTATCACATGACGGGCTTCATCGCCACCGAGCGCGAGTCCGGCATGACCCAGCTCATCGACGCCATGATGCCCATCCGCCGCCGCTGGGTCGCCCAGCTCGCCCGCGTCATCTCATACCACGTCGCCTTTTCTCTGCTGTACCTGCCCGGCTGGGTCGTCGGTTCCATCGTTCTGCGCGCCAACATCTGGTCCAACACGAGCATCGGCGTCGTCCTCGTGTATTATATTCTCGCAGGCCTAGCTATGGCCTCCGCTGCCATCCTCGTCTCCTCCTTCTTCCAGAAAGCTCAGCTGAGTGGCGTCACGGCCCTGCTAGCGACCGTCCTCCTCGGTATCCTGGCACAGGCACTGACCGACCCGGGCACCGGCGTCGTCGCCGTTCTGTCGCTACTCTTCACCCCCTGCAACGTCGTCTTCTTCCTCATCACCATGGCTCGCTGGGAGAGAGAGCGCATGGGCACGAACCTGACCGAGGTGGCCCCCAACAGTTCCTTTGAGCTGCCAGCCATTGTCTTTTGGATTTTCCTCATCATTCAGATTTTCGTCTACCCTCTGCTCGGCATCCTCATTGAGGGCCGTCTGTTCGGTACGAGCGCCAAGGGCCGCACCGTTCTCTACGATCAGCCCACGGACGGCTCGCACAATGGCCCGGCCGTGCGCCTCGATGGCTTCAGCAAGTACTATCCACCGTCCGCCTTCCAGCGTCTCATGTCCGTCTTTGGGAAGCCGCGTGAGACTGTCAAGGCCGTCGACGGGTTGACTCTGGATGCCCCGCGAGCATGATCCTCTGCCTTCTGGGCAGCAACGGAAGTGGCAAGTCGACGACGCTCGACTCGATCGCCGGTACCAATAGGCTCACCAGCGGATCCATCACGATTGACGGCACCGGAGTTTTGGGCATTGCGCCCCAGAAAAACGTGCTGTGGGACGAGCTGACCGTCGAGGAGCACCTCAAGATCTTCAATCGTCTCAAGGCCCCCGGCCAGACGGCTTCCAAGCAGGAGATTCGCGACCTCGTGCAGGCCATTGATCTTAGTCCCAAGAGGAAAGCATTCTCCAAGACACTCTCGGGTGGTCAGAAGCGCAAGCTGCAGCTCGGCATGATGCTGACAGGAGGAAGCGCCGTCTGTTGCGTCGACGAGGTCAGCAGTGGGCTCGATCCCCTCAGTCGTCGCAAAATTTGGGACATTCTCTTGGCTGAGCGTGGTCGACGCACCATCATCCTCACGACGCACTTTCTCGACGAGGCTGATCTCCTTGCTGACCACATTGCTGTTCTTTCCAAGGGAACCCTGCGTGCCAGCGGTTCATCTGTTGAACTGAAGAATACGCTCGGCGCCGGCTACCGCGTTCACGTTCCTAAGGATACAGCCGTCACGGATGCGCCTGAGATCGAGGGTGTTCAGAAGAAAGATTCCTTTGATTTCATCACCTACGTTGCTCCCTCGTCGGCATTGGCTGCGCAGGTCATCCGCGCGTTGGAAGCGCGCAACATCAAAGGATACAATTTCTCCGGTCCCACCATCGAGGACGTCTTCCTGCAGCTCGCAGAAGAGACGCGAGACCAGGCAGCAGCCGTCAACGGAGACGACTCTGCAAACCATAGCGAAAAGACGTTATCCGGTGCCGTTACGCCTCCGTCCCGCGGACACCACAAGCCTGGGCTCTCGTTGATGAGTGGCAGGCGAATCGGCTACGTCCGCCAGTCCATGGTACTCTTCCGAAAGCGCTGTACCATTTTCAAGACGAATTGGCTCCCGTATGTGGCCGCCTTCATCATCCCTATCATTGCTGCTGGGCTGGTGACCATCTTCATTCGCGACGCGGACCCCAGCTCCTGCGCTCCGCCCGATGACAACTTCAGCGCAGGGGCCGAGGGCCTGGACTTGAGCGAGGCTGGTTTCGGTTTCGTCGTTGGACCCAGCGACAAGTGGAATGAAGGCGCAGCTGCCCAGGTGCTTGGGCCGGCCTTCCTCGGAGCTGCTGGAGGCAGTGGTAACAACGGTGGAGGGAGCGATGGGGCTTTGGATGTCTTGCGACAAATCCTCGAACGCAACACGACCGTCGTGGATTCCTTCCAGGAGTTCACCGACGCCATCGATGAACGTCGCGCCGACATCAAGCCTGCGGGCCTTTGGCTTGGAGATGACAGCAATGCCCCAACGCTCGCCTACCTCGGCAACAGGGGCGGCCTGATCAACTCGCTTCTCGGTCAGAATATCCTA